ATCTGACACACCCCCTCAGCTTGGACATGCTTCAAGCTGGTTCCTGATTGCGCAACCTTAGTATGCTTCTAGGGCTTCCATTCTTGCTTCAATCTCTTCCATATCCGCTTCCTGACTGACTATCCTCTCCCTGACGTTAACTAGCCAAATTTGCTAAAGAAAGCTTGGCCATTTGCTGGCTAGAAGCGCTTTAGTAAGTCTGTCTGCAAGCATCTTGCTAGAGGGGACATAGACAACCTTAATTATTTGTTAAGAGACTTCCTGTTAGAGCTAGTAGTTATAGATGTTAACATGTTAGAGCTTAGTTTAAAGTTAAGATATCTTTTTGTTTACTAGTTAGATTATCTGCTTGTTGTTACACTAGATTATAATAGTTAAATTAGGCAGCTTAACCTGCAGTTTGTTAAGAAGCATTCTTATAAACATAGCTTTCTTAGCAACTTAGGACAGTGCAAGTAATTCTGCTTCTGTTGTTAATGTTGTAACTATATTTTATTTATTTACTTACTATGCAATCTATCTGCTAAATAGTTAAATAACATAGCCTTAAGAGCTCTTCCTATTTAGTGTATTATCTGTAAATAACATATTGCTTGCTACTACAAGGTAGTCTTCTTCTTCTAATTAGAGTGCGTACGTCTGTGTCACATGTAGGTACAGGATGACTTAATTAGCTGCATCCTAATAGTCAGATGCGGGATTCGTGAGAAACCGTGCAAGGCGTGATGTGGCAAAGGCGATGTCTAGTCTTGTAGTAACTGCTGCAAAGAGTAGAGATCTAATCTTCTACTAATATTAATTTACTTCTAATAGGGTTATAAAACTAGATTGCGGCATAAGTTTAATCCTACTTATAGGTGTAGCGTGCTGCAGGTTCTTTTTATTAGCTAGCCTAGCTATCTTGTTAATATATAATGCTTATAATAGCTAAATTATTTATTACTATTAATTTTTAATAATCTTAACTCCTAGGAACTATTATAGGTCCTTGCCTTTTATTAGGGTATACTTCTCTTGTAACTAGTCTACTACACGCTGTGCATCTGCTTTAGAGCCTTTTCTGTACGCAATAATAAGGTTGTCTATGTAGAAGAAGACAAATATTCTAGCTTTAGTTATATAGTAGAGTTTATATAGAACAGCTAAGAACCTAAGGCCTTTAAGAGTTATTATAAAATAGTATTACTAAAGTAGAGAAGAAATTTATAGGCTGTATA